TTGAGATATTGAGGTCAGTTCCTTTAAAACGTTGGAGTGGTGCACGTGCGTGCATTTTGTAGGATCGTGGGGAGCGGTGGCGCAGTGGTTAGCGCGCTGCGCTACGAACCCCAGCGACCCGAGTTCGATTCCCGCTCACCACGACCAGCCCCTGGTGGCGATTCTCCGAACTGGTCCAGGGGCCTCGCCTAGGTCGACTCGGCCTCAAATGAGTACCCGGTGCGGTGTGTAAACATCGACACTGGGGAGACAAAGGCGGCCGGGCGTGGTGCTGGCCACCCCCACCTCCTCTTGATCTTCAATAGGTGCTGCTCCTCGCTAACAGCACTTACCCCAACAGTCTGTTAAGGCTATACAGGGGATCTTTGTTGTGTTGGGGCTGGCGAGCGAAGGAATGAGCTGGTGGCGAGTGAAGGAATGAGTTGGGTGGTGAGCGTTGCACGAAGATGGCCTTCATCCAGCAGTGGATTGATCATGGCCCACCATGTTGCGGTTGTGACTCCATGTAGCCGCTTGGGAGGGGGTGGGGTGAGTTATGATGAGGTGGGGGGGGGGAGTGCGAGTGGGGGGTGCGTGGGGGGTGAGTAGGGGGATGGGAGGGTGCGGGGTGAGTTGAGAAATTACTTCCCAGGTGACCTTTCACCTTTCCGAGATGTGGAATGCGCTTTAGCGTCTTCGGGGAGCTGTTTTCAGGTGAACATCTTAAGCTGTGGGGGGAGGGGGGGGGGGGTGCGTGGGAGGGGACGGGGGGTGAGATGTGGGGGAGGGAGGGGCGTTTCGTGACCCTGGCCACGTGCGCTGTGTCGACCTTAATAGCTGCTCGCTGACAGCACTTGCCCCAACAGTCTTTTAAGGCTACACGGAGAATCTTTGTCTTTGTGTGTGTGTGTGTGTGCACTGGGAAGACAGAGGCGGCCGGGCGTGGTGATGGTCAACCCCCACTCCCCCGTTGTGTCCGTGCCGGCCTTCGTAGGTAGCTACGCGTTAACAGCACTTGCCCCAACAGTCTGCTGAGGCTGTGCCATCTATGTAGTACGTGCACGCGCGTGTGTGTGTAGTTGTAGCTGCCGTAGTGCACGTGTGCCATAGACTGCTGGATGAGAACCTCTCTTACCTCACCCCGTGCGCATTTCTCCGGGATGAATAAAGATTCTGATGCTGAATGTCTGCACTGGTCGTGAACCGCTCATCCTTGTCTCCCTGCCCCCACCCAGCACCCCCCAGCCCCTCCCCTCTACCCCCCACCCTCTACCCCCCACCCTCTACCCCCCACCCTCTACCCCCCACCCTCTACCCCCCACCCTCTACCCCCCCACCCTCTACCCCCACCCACATCACTTACCTTGGGGTTCTCTGTAATTCCAAGAACGTGGAGTCGCAGGGGCACTTTCAAAACCACACCCTCACCTCGCTCACCCCAACACCTCACCCCAAACACCTCACCCCAACACTCACCCAAACACTCACCCAAACACTCACCCAAACACTCACCCAAACACTCACCTCACCCTAACACTCACCCCAAACACCTCACCCCAAACACTCACCTCACCCTAACACTCACACAGCACATAGCACGTACCCCAACACACCCAACACTCACTCCAACACTCACCCCAACACTCACCCCAACACTCACCCCAACACTCACCCCAACACTCACCCCAACACTCACCCCAAACACCTCACCCCAACACTCACCCCAAACACCTCAAACACTCACCTCACCCCAACACTCACACAGCACATAACACGTACCCCAACACACCCAACACTCACCCCAACACTCACCCCAACACTCACCCCAACACTCACCCAACACTCACACAGCACATAGCACACATCCCAACACTCACCCAACACTCACACAGCGCATAGCACTCACCCCAACACTCACCCCAACACTCACCCAACACTCACACAGCACATAGCACTCACCCCAACACTCACCCAACACTCACACAGCACATAGCACTCACCCCAACACTCACCCCAACACTCACCCCAACACTCACCCAACACTCACCCAACACTCACACAGCACATAGCACTCACCCCAACACTCACCCCAACATTCACACAGCACATAGCACGCACCCCAACACTCACCTCACCCCAAACACTCACCTCACTCACCCAGCAGACAGCACTCACCCCAACACTCACCCCGACGATCACTCACCTCACACACACACGTGCCAAACTCACCCCAGCATGTCGCACTCGCTTAAAAACTCACCCCACCACTTACCTCACCCATCACCCCACCACTTACCCCACCCATCACCATACCACTCACCCCACCACTCACCCCACCACTCACCCCACCACTCACCCAAACATTGACCCAACACTTATACCAAGTACACATGCCACTCACCCAACCACTCATCCCACCACTCACCCCACCACTTACCCGGCCACTTGCCGGACAGGAATCGATTAATCGCCCCGTGTTCACGCGTGGCTGTTCGTGCAGTTGCTGCGCGACAGCCAGAGACTCCCCCCCCCAACCCTCCACAGACGCCAAACGGACAGTAACAAACAGCCAACGGGCCACATTTAACTCGGTCCAATGGAACAACGAATCTGTGCACAGACGATGCAAACGCACCACACGAGATGACACCTCGAGGTGAGCCAAGGCCAGCCGCCGCATGTGTGTATGTTGAACTTCTTTTGCCCCCTACGTAGCCAACCGTGCTCATCGGAAGTGCGTAGTCGTTATCGTTAATCGGCGGTGGAGCGGTGGTTGGGTTCGTGGTTGGGTTAAGTGGTTGGGTTAAGTGGTTGGGTTAAGTGGTTGGGTTAGTGGTTGGTTTAGTGGTTGGTTTAGTGGTTGGGTTAAGTGGTTGGGTTAAGTGGTTGAGTTAAGTGGTTGGGTTAAGTGGTTGGGTTAAGTGGTTGAGTTTAGTGGTTGGGTTTAGTGGTTGGGTTAAGTGGTTGGGTTTAGTGGTTGGGTTAAGTGGTTGGGTTAAGTGGTTGGGTTAAGTGGTTGGGTTAAGTGGTTGGGTTTAGTGGTTGGGTTAAGTGGTTGGGTTAAGTGGTTGGGTTAAGTGGTTGGGTTAAGTGGTTGGGTTAAGTGGTTGGGTTAAGTGGTTGAGTTAAGTGGTTGAGTTTAGTGGTTGGGATAGTGGTTGGGATAGTGGTTGGGATAGTGGTTGGGATAGTGGTTGATGTAAGTGATTGGGTTAAGTGGTTGGGTATAGTGGTTGAGTTAAGTGGTTGGGTTAAGTGGTTGATGTAAGTGGTCAGGCTAAGCGAGCGCGGCGCGGCACATGCTATGAGCAACTCTAGGAACCAGAGTTGGATTCCCGACTCACGGCTACCATCAGTGGCAGATGATGGCAGAACCCAATCCTGCTCTCGCTCTCTCTCTCTCCCTTCCTAACCCTCCACTGCCCTTCACCGACACGCAATGACCGGCGTGGTGAAGTATGGTCCAACAAAAATAACACGACAATAACAACTCCATGACGGACACGGCGTGGCCGAAACCTTCACGGGATGTGTTTTCTGTTTGTGTGCATCATTAATCGAATTGGCTGGCGAGATGAGAAGGTGGCAAGGGGGTTGGGTGAGAGGGGTGGGTGAGTGAGAGAGGGGTGGAATGGGAGAGCGGTGGGGCAGCGGTTAGCGCACCCACTGCCTTACGAACCTCGCGGGCAGAGTTCAGTACTTGGGAGACAAAGGCGGCCGGGCGCGGCGTTCCTCCTCGTGCACGGGGTGTGCCCACCTTCATAGGTGGCGCCGCTACTCGCTCACAGCACTTGCCCCCAACAGTGTTAAACCGGAGAGGCTATACGGGGTGGGGGGAATCGTTGTCTTTGGTGTGTGGGGGGGGAGGGGTGAATCATTATGAAGCCCCCACTCACCAACTCTGCTCCACCCCCTCCCTCCACAAAGACAAAGATCCCCCGTGTAGCCTGTAACAGACTGTTGGGGCAAGTGCTGTTGGCGAGTAGCACCTATGAAGGCCGGAACGGCACACGAGGGGATGGGTGGCTAACACCACGCCCCGGCCGCCTTTGTCTCCCCAGTGGCGATGTTTACACATCGGTACTCATTTGAAGCTGAGTTGACCTAGGCGAGGCCCCAGGACCCGTTCGAGATAATCGTCACCGGTGTTGGCCGTGAGCGGGAATCGAACCCGGATCGCCGGGTTCGTAGCGCAACGTCGCGCTAACCGCTACACCACCGCTCCCCCACACAAACTCCCAAACTCCACCCCTCCACAGCCCACAGCCCCGCCCCTCGCCCACAGCCCCGCCCCTAGCCAGAGACTCGACCCCGCCCGGATCGTAGTCGCCACAATCGAGGAGGAACAGCGGCACCACACTCACAACGGCGTCGTCATCTTCATCATCATCATCATATCTGGCGAAAGAAATCTGCGCAGCCTGGCTGGAGCGTTAACAAAGACAAAGAGCCTCGGTCCCTCCCCACCTCCTCTCCACCCTTCCCCACCCCCCCGTATAGCCTTAGCAGACTGTTGGGGCAAGTGCTGTGTTAATCCGCACTTCGACACACACACATAGCTACAGATGTAGTACACAAATGTTTCTCCATTATATATAGCCTTCACAGGCTGTTGGAGCAAGTGCTGTTGTTGGCGAGCGCCTGCACACACACACACACACGTTCACATACACGCACGTTCACACACACACACGTACACACACGCGCACGTTCACACGCACGTTCACACACACACACGCACGTTCACACACACACACACGCACGTTCACACACACACACGCACGTTCACACACACGCGCGTTCACACACACACGCGTTCACACACACACGCGTTCACACACACACGCGTTCACACACACACGCGTTCACACACACACACGTTCACACACACACGCGCGTTCACACACACACACACACGTTCACACACACACACACGTTCACACACGCGCACGTTCACACACACACACACACGTTCACACACACGCACGTTCACACACACACACACGTTCACACACACGCACGTTCACACACACACACGTTCACACGCACGTTCACACACACACACGTTCACACACACACACACACACGTTCACACACACACACGTTCAAACACGTTACAGCTGGGATCTCTCTTCACGCGTGTCCGGTACCACCGCTACGACATCGTCAAGGGACGTCGCCACCTTGACCGTAACGGTGAAGTCACAACATCGTCCTCATCATCGTCCTCATCATCGTCGTCGTCATCGTCGAAGAAGTCCTCTCCCTTCATCAGTGACTCTTCCGTCGTCGGCTGCTGGTGACGCAGGCGCGGATGGTACGAGGGGTGACTGGGGCAGTGATGGCGATGTTCCAGTGACAACCAGAGAGTGTTGCTGATGATGATGACGACGACGCTGCTGCTGCTGCTGCTGCTGCTGATGATGATGATGATGATTCAGACGAGGAAATATGAAATGAGTTACTGCGTCTCTCTGAAGGCGATGGCGGCGGTGATGTTGACGGCGATGACTCTGCAAGCGCAGTAAGTGCCGAGCCGCTCGTGACGCACGCGGCTTCCTCCTCCTCCTCTTTGTTTGAACGTCGCGTGAAGACACAAGACCGACGGAGTTGTCTACTGCTCACAAAGACTTCTATATATGTTTTTTTATATATATTTCACGAATAGTTTGTGTTAGTTAATTTTAGTTTGAGAGGCTGGTGTTGTCGGTGGTGGAGAGAGCCCCCCCCCCCCATAAGGAAGGCAGAGGATACGATCCCAGTTCTGGAGCTCGCTCGAACCGGTCCGGCACTCCGCCTTTGTGGTTTTTAATGGATGGGCGCCTTCACCAAGCTGGACACAAATGCGGGTTTGTCGGTGAGAATGTGTCGTGCGTCGAAGATGAATCCACTTCCCTCTGCGTGAACACGAGCTCCGAGACCCAGGTGGGTGCATGTGTCCGTGTGCGAGTATAGGTCTGACACGGCTTAAGAGGGCGCAGAGGGGTTCTCGAACGAAGATCGCGTTTTGTCTCTCCATTAAGTTGGGTACGTGCTCCACTCTGAAGTGCTCCACCCTGTAGTGCTCCACCCTGAAGTGCTCCACCCTGAAGTGCTCCACCTTGAAGTGCAACTCCTCCTCGTCCTCTGCGCAGCGAGATGGCACCACGCTTCCTCGAGTCGCCCACGTGCGCCCGTGACGCCACGAAAGTTCCGTGTTGTTCGTCCCGGTAGAGAGCCGTGTGAATCAGAGGGAAGGGGTCGACTCTTCTTTTTTTTGTTTTAAAAACGGAGAGAGAAACTTTGCGGCCGTCAGCAGCAGCCGCAGCAGCAATTCGGGTCTAGATCCGAAACAAATTGTTAACCCGGCAGAGTCAAACATCACGGCGTGCGAACGTGTTCTGTGGAGCAAACTCTTGAGTTTGTGGACGTCGTGAGAGAGTAAGATGCACGCGGCTTTTGCGTCGATGATGGCCATGCGGATGCTGTCGCAACATCGATGAGAGTGGAAACATCTCGAGACCTGGAGGCGCAACGTCGTAGCGAAACGGCGAATACCGTCGTGGTCGGGTGGGAGGAGGAGGAGGAGGAGGAGGAGGAAGAGGAGGGGGAGAACGGCGAGGAGGTGGAGCAGAACGAGGAGGTCGCGCTGCGGGGAATCGAACTCGGCCGCTACCAGCTCGGAGGTCCACTGCGCGAGTCTGGCTTCGCGCTCGAGATTCTGCAGAACAGCCGCAATGCGTGGACGGAAGTGATCGGGCAGTTTTGCGCAGACCTGGAGTGTCCGTCTTGGAGAGAGGATTTCGGCACCCCAGGGGGTGGCGAGGCGGAGGACGAGGTGGTTAAGGAGGAGGAGGTGGAGGAAGGAGAAGTGGAGGGGGAGGTTGGGAAGCAGGGCTGGGAGGAGGTTGAAGAGGAGCAGGAGAGAGACGTGGAGCAGCAGCAGGAGCAGCAGCAGGAGGAGGAGGAGGAGATCCGAACGGGAGTGGGAATGAGAGCAGAGCTCTTGAACAAGGGTGAGTCTGAGACGGACTCGTCGGCAGAGTCATCGACTGGCAGCGTGGCCGCGAGATGCCTCGGCCATGAAGACACCACGCGGGGCGAGACCACCACCACCATCATGGGAGGAGGTCTCAAGCAGCAGCAGCAGGACGTGAGATTGAGGAGAAGTAGCTTCGACCGGCAGCAACGTGATGGCCTGCGTCAGCAGCATCAGCAGACCGCATCTCGGCCGCGTCCTGCGAGTTTGTACAGCCACCCGGAGCTAGCGAGCGGCGCTCCGGGCCTCCGCAGCATCCCCGAACCTCCGGCGAAGAGCCCCGCGCCTCGACGCCCTCGGAGCATTTGTCTCTCGGGAGCAAGCAGCCGGGCAGAGGGAGACCTCGCGAGGCACGGCACCTGTGGGACACCCGTCACTGATGCGGTTGTCGGTGCTGCTGCTGCTGCTGGTGGTGGTGGTGGCGGCGACGATGGCGGAGCGCCAATTCGCCGTCACAGAGCTTCGTCCTTCACCGGTCAAATCGACGCAGAGATCCTGCGTCGTGGCAGCGCTGGTGCGGACGATGGCGCTGGTGCAGGCGCAGGGCAGAGGAGGAGGACCCGGCCCATGAGCCTGATGGTGGAGCCCACCACCAGGCCCGAAAAGCCTCCCGTCGACACGAGGACAGAGGGTGCAGACCCGTGGAGGTTTGCACGACGTCTCGTGGCTCTGAGCGCCAGCTTCAAGAAGGCGCGCGGAGCCTCGGCGAGAGGACGTGGTGGTGGTGGTGGTGGCTGTTGTGAAGAAGTCGCCTCCTGCAGATCCCCAGGTCGTGTTGAGGAGCAACGTCCGAACGCGCACTCGACGCCTCTTCGTGATCATCGTGATGATGGATGTCACCACCACCACCACCATCATCATCACAATCACTCCCACCACCATGGCAGTAATGGAACCCTCAACAACGGAGAGCAGCATCAGAATCGTAGCAATCATCAGCAGCAACAGCAGGCCGGAGAGTGGAAGTTCGTGGGACTCATCAGGAAGAGTTTCAGCTTCCGAGTAAAGGGCAGCGGTGGTGGTAGCGGCCGGCCCAGGCCACAAGGCGCAGGCAGCCCGTGCGGGTCTCCTGTCCTCGGTAGGCGAATGTGGACAACGGCAGAGCCGAGGGCGGCCAACGGGAGCGCCTCGCACAACGGACTGGGCCCTCGCCAGACGGGCTGCGGGAGCGAGCACGGCACGATGATGATGATGATGATGACGACGACGACGGCGGCGACCACCTCCTCCCCGTCGTCGTCATCATCATCACCAGCACCACCGCCGCCGTCGTCGGCATCGTCCTCGTTTCTTCAACGACGTTTCTCGCGGCGTTCCAGGGACCGCCAGGGTAGGAACAGGACCTGGGACGGCCACGAGATGGACGCGGCCTTGAGGAGCCCCGGGTCACTCGCCGCGACGCAGCACGACGGGAGGATCAGGAGGCTGCTCAGCAGAATCTTCGTGCGTAAAGACGGAGATGGAACTCCTCCTCCTCCTCCTCCTCCTACGACGACGACGACTTGTGCGGCGGAAACCTCCTCCTCCTCCTCCTCGTCGCCGGGGGCAGAGCAGCGCACTGCATCGCCGTCGGCAGCTTTAGCCGCTGCTGCGTCATCGTTACCCGGATCGCGGACGGGTGGCCCGGCTGGAGAGGTCGGGGTCGGCGTGACCCCGCGAGGTCACGCCGACCCGAGGCCCATCATCGTGGTGCACGAAGATGACCGAGGTGGTGTCGGCGAGACGGAGGTCGCCTCTCCAGCCCACGGTGAGCGTCCCCCCCCCTCTCTACTCGAGCGAGGAAAATCTCTGTCGGGTTCTTTTTGGTGCCTTGCGCGTGCAGTTTTGAAAAAGAAAAGTTAAGAGGTTGGAAAAAAAAGTTATCGATTGTCGCGGCTTTTTTTTCATGTCGTGAGCCATTCGCACACGGTAGCTGAGTGGAGTCGTCCGCTTGTTCCACCAGAACGTAGCGTGGTTGTGTTGGGGTAGCTGAGTGGAGTCGTCCGCTTGTTCCACCAGAACGTAGCGTGGTTGTGTTGGGGTAGCTGAGTGGAGCAAGTCCGCTCGTTCCACCAGAACGTAGCGTGGTTGTGTTGGGGTCGTGTCATCGGTTATGGTTTTCACCTCCACCAGTCTGACAGGTCACGTGGTGCTGTTGTTGCCACGTGCTGCTGTTGCCACGTGCTGCTGTTGCCACGTGCTGCTGTTGCCACGTGCTGCTGTTGCCACGTGGTGCTGTTGTTGTGACGTGGTGTTCCTGTTGTGACGTGGTGTTCTTGTTGTGACGTGGTTGACAGCAGTCCTGCTGTCGGGTGAGTAGAGACGGGGGGGGGGGGGGGGGCAGGGATTATTTTTTTGGGTGCCAACATCACGGAGGGAGGGAATGCCCCCGTGTGTGCCGTGCTGCGTCCGTGCGGTGCCGACGCACGCGACGTTTCGGGCCATGATCCTTCGTAGCTGTGCGGTCGATAAGGTTTCGCACCTCCCGATGAGCACGGCTGGCTACGTACGGTGCGAAAAAAGTTCTTACATACGTACCGAACAATAACCTCGAATGTATTAATTGTTCTGAGGATCAACGTTCGAGTTTGATTATAATCTGTGTAACCCCCCCCCTATAGTTCGTGAGCTACTTGGGGCCCATAAACCCCTTTTACTCCTCGGTTTACTTTTGTCCAGCGCCACCACTGAGTGAGCGAGCGGGGGAGCGGTGGCGCAGCGGTTAGCGCGCTGTCCCACGAACCCGGCCGCTCGCGGCCACCACCGGGACCAGTGACGAACATCTTGAACCGTTGCTCGGACCTCGCCTAGGTCGACTCTGCCCTCAAAGACGAGAACAGTAGGCGCGCTGGGCAAACATCGGCACTGGGGATGCAAAGGCCGGCCGGGCGCGGTGCTGGCAAACTTCATCAACCTTCGCGTGCCGTTCCGACCCCTTTTTTTAATAGGTGCTCGCGAACAGCACTTGCCCTCAACACTCTGTTAAAGGCTATACGGGGGAGGGGGGGGGGGGGGGCTTTGCCTTTGTGCATGTATGTACATGATGATCATGATCAGCTTTAGTGAGTGAGCGAGCGAGCGAGCAAGCGAGCGTTTGTGTCATCCCTGTCTCCGCCAGATCGCCGTTCCTTCTTCTCCAATGTCAAAACAGCGCTGCGGTGTTTCTCTCGGAGTTCCCGTGCGGTTCATTTATTTATTTGGCGTTTGAGGCTCCCTCTGGGATCTCGCCACCCCCCCCCCTACACACACAAGCATCTTCATTTGTTTGTTCGGGAAGAATGCGGACGAACTTTTTCCCCGCGGGTGTTCAAGGGTTAAATGATGAGCTAGCACTCTCGGTGAAGAGGTTCGCGGTTCGGTGCTGGCGGCCGCCCTGGTTACCACTGCGTGGTGCTATCTATGTGAGCGTCTGTGTGAGCGTGTTGTAGCTGTATCTGTGTGAGGGTCTGTGTGTGTAGCTGTGTCTGTGTGAGTGTGTATGAAGTGTGTGTAGCTGTGTCTGTGTGTAGCTGTGTCTATGAAGTGTGTGTGTAGCTGTGTCTGTGTGTCTGTGTGTGTAGCTGTGTCTGTGTGAGTGTCTCTGTGTGTGTAGCTGTGTCTGTGTGTAGCTGTGTCTATGAAGTGTGTGTGTAGCTGTGTCTGTGTGAGTGTCTATGAAGTGTGTGTAGCTGTGTCTGTGTGTAGCTGTGTCTATGAAGTGTGTGTAGCTGTGTCTGTGTGTCTGTGTGTGTAGCTGTGTCTGTGTGAGTGTCTCTGTGTGTGTAGCGGTGTCTGTGTGAGTGTGTAGCTGTGTCTGTGTGAGTGTCTATGAAGTGTGTGTAGCTGTGTCTGTGTGAGTGTCTATGAAGTGTGTGTAGCTGTGTCTGTGTGAGTGTCTATGAAGTGTGTGTAGCTGTGTCTGTGTGAGTGTCTATGAAGTGTGTGTAGCTGTGTCTGTGTGTCTGTGTGTGTGTAGCTGTGTCTGTGTGAGTTTGTCTGTGTGAGTGTCTATGAAGTGTGAGTAGCTGTGTCTGTGTGTGTGTAGCTGTGTCTGTGTGTCTATGAAGTGTGTGTAGCTGTGTCTGTGTGAGTGTCTATGAAGTGTGTGTCTGTGTGTCTGTGTGTGTGTAGCTGTGTCTGTGTGTCTGTGTGTGTAGCTGTGTCTGTGCGAGTGTCTCTGTGTGTGTAGCTGTGTCTGTGTGAGTGTCTGTGTGTGTGTAGCAGTGTCTCTGTGTGTAGCTGTGTCTGTGTGTGTGTAGCTGTGTCTCTGTGTGTGTAGCTGTGTCTCTGTGTGTGTAGCTGTGTCTCTGTGTGTGTAGCTGTGTCTGTGTGAGTGTCTGTGTGTGTGTAGCTGTGTCTGTGTGAGTGTCTGTGTGAGTGTGTGTGTGTGTCTGTGTGAGTGTCTGTGTGAGTGGCTGTGTCTCTGTGTGTAGCTGTCTCTGTGTGTAGCTGTGTCTCTGTGTGTGTAGCTGTGTCTGTGTGAGTGTCTGTGTCTGTGTGAGTGTCTGTGTGTGTAGCTGTGTCTCTGTGTGTAGCTGTGTCTGTGTGTGTGTAGCTGTGTCTCTGTGTGTGTAGCTGTGTCTCTGTGTGTGTAGCTGTGTCTGTGTGAGTGTCTTTGCTACGCGCAGGAAGTTAAAGGGGCGCCACTGTGGCTAGGAGATGTTAACTACCTCGCCTGGTCTACGGGAGGTCGTGGGTTCCAATGCGACCCTCACGACGCCCGTAAATGTGGAGTTAGCGGTGTCTCTCTCCCCGTGGTCGCGTTGTTGTTCCCCCCGCACATTTAGAAACAACATCACGCGTTTTTAGAGTCTCCGTCTGCCGCTGTACATTTCCACACGACGATGATGATGATGATGACGACGATGATGACGACGACGATGACGACGATGACGATGACGACGACGACGATGATGATAACGACGATGATGACGATGATAACGACGATGATGATGATTACGACGATGATGATGATGACGACGGCGACGATGATGACGATGATGATGACGACGACTATGACGACGACGATGACGACGACGACGATGACGACGACGACGATGATAACGACGATGATGACGATGACGACGATGATGATGATTACGACGACGATGATGATTACGATGATGATGATGATGAGCGAGCCGCCACCTCGCGTGGGGCTTCTCATCACGTGGCCTTCGTCTCTTCCCGAGCGGGCGGCGATGTTCGCGCCGCGTCACGTCACGTCACGTGCTCGTGCGAGGCTCTCGCGAGGGCTGCAGCGACGGCGCTCGGCGTCGTCGTCGGGGGGGGGGGGGGGGGGGG